CTCACAATAAAAGTAATGTAAATTAAAACTAAAACGAGAGAACATTCAATAGGTAAAAAACAAAACCTATTCTAAAAATTTGTATTTTTCAGGCCATGGAAAAAATAAGGAAACTCCTGTGAGTTTATTCACAGGAATAAGTTCCTGTGAAAGAAATTTTTTTCACAGGAATTTAAATCAGCATAAAGAAAATATGTATTTAAAAGATATAACTAAAAATACACTGTACTGAAATATAAATTTATAAACTGAAAACTGCTAAACATTGCAGAAGGAAATAAAAGAAGACCTAAATAAAGGAAACAATATGCCATGTCAATAGATGGAAGACTCAATATGTTAAATGTTAATTGTCTCTAAACTGATCTATAAACTTAATGCAATGGATTTTTCTTTTTTTAATTACAAATTTATATGTAAAAGCAAACGGCCCTGACTAGCTAAAACAATCTTGAAGATAAAGAATAAAACTGAGGGACTACAATCAATATGGTGTAGTTAAGGAGAAATGAAACAGAGTATCCAGATACAGGCCCACTCACATATGAACAATTGATTTTAGCCATGATGCCAAAGTACTTCAATGAGGTAAGAATGGCTTTTCAACAAACGATGCTGGAATAATTTTTAATAGATATGGGGACAAAGAGGATACGTTGAGAAGGATTCATAGACCTCAATATAAAGCCAAACTACAAATATCTAGAAGAAAACACAGGATAATATGGCCACAAATTTGGGATATGAAAATATTTCTTAGGAAAAGCACAACAGGCTATAATTATAAAAGAAAAAATATTATAGACTAAATTTCACAAAAATAAAATTATGTGCTCTTCAAAAGATATTGATAAGAAAATAAAAAGATAAAGCTCAGACTGGGATAAAAATATCCACAAAACATATGTGACAAAGAACTTGTATCTAGAAGATATTTTTTAAAAGCATACAAATCAATTGGCAGTTTCTAACAAAGTTATACATACTTCTATCCTATGACCTAGAAGTTCTACTCTAAATATTTACCCAAGAGAAATGAAAATATATATCTACTAAATAATTTTAACAACAATATTTTTAGCACTTTTATTCATAATAGCCTCGAATTGAAAATGAGTCAAATATCTATCATCAAGAGAATGGGTAAAAAGTGATATATTCAAAATGTTGAATAAAAGCAATAAAAATAATGAACTACTGATGTGCCCAACAACATGGAATGAACCTCAAAAATATTATGGTGAGCAAAAGTATGTATACTCTATAATCCCATTTCTATGAAGTTTAAGAATAGGCCAAATAGGCTCAGAAATAAGAAAGTATTATCTGTGGCAGAAACAAAATTGACTATATAGGGCACAAAGGAGCTTTCAGATGATGAAAATGCTCAAAACCTTGATTATAGTGGTGAGTTACATGGGTATACACATTTATGAGAACCTATCAAATTGTATACTTAATATATATGCATTTAACTATATATGAATTTTGTCTCAATAGAACAAACCAATAAAGAAAAAATTACATGCACTCTGATCTTGTATTTCCACTTCTCAGATATATTCTAAAGTATAGTGCTCATTGAAATACAATGGAAACATTCTAAACATCTACCAATATCCACACTGGAATACTATGAGGCCATTAAAAAGAATGAGACACCACAATTGATGAAAAAAATAAATAAACTTCAATATATAAATTAATAAATGTAAAAGGCATGGTACAGAACATGTGTATGATATCCTACCACATGTATAAAAATTGCACAGAAAATATCTGGAAGGATATGAAAGGGATTTGTATCCCTTGTTTTCTCCAGGAGACTTAGAGTACAAAAGACTTAGCTTTTCAATATTTACCTTCACTATCTTTTGAACTGTATATCACTGTACATGTATACTCTGTTTTTTAGGGGAGATAAATGGTGATAGACAGAGACTTGACTTGGGGTGGTGAACACACAATACATTGTACAGATGATGTGTAATAGAATTGTGCACCTGAAGCTTGTATAATTTTGTTAACCAGTGTTACCCCAGAGAATTCCATAAAAAAGAAAAAAATTAGATTGACAACAAACATTTTAAATGTCTGCATTTTTCAGAAATTCAAATAAAAACTAAAATAAAAAGAATGAAAAAAATTAGCAATTAATTATTTGCCTATGTTTTCAAAAACTTGTTACAAGATAAAAATACATTACGTAGTCTAGAAATAATAATACTGAGTATGTGTTAAGTGAGAGGTCAGAACTAAGTATCATGCGTGTTCAGAAAGAAGGGGATGAGTTCACATACTGATGGGCAATCAAGGCAGACTTTATATGGGAGGGGAGGTTTTTAATGGGAGTTTGAAGCAAGAGTTATAGTTTGACAGGAATAAAACAGACTGAATCAGAAGCAGTACCCAAATAAAGGAACTGACATGGCAAACACAGGGCCCTGGAAAACCTGGGACGTGTTTGGAAATAGTAAAAACTATGTTTGAAAAGGTAAATGGCGGCCATCACCTGACTCCTGAGGGCTCATTCAACAATCTTTATTGATTTGCTTATAATCCTCACCCTCATTTCTCCCATATTTACAGTTTTGACTTCTCTATCAGAGGAAGAAAATCAAAGGGGCAGGAGAAGAATAGAATAGAAGAAAGAAGATTAACAAGTGGCAAGATAAAGAATCTTACAGGGTTAAAAGGGAGTTCATCAGAAGAGAAAGTGGAGCAAACTTAAAAGTTAAGAAAAATATTTTGTTGATTTTTATTTTGTTGATACTGAAACAGAAGAGAAATAAAAAGAGAAGGGCTGTTGCTCCCTTAGAAAACCCATGGTAGGTAACCAGACACTAGTGGATAAAAGGACAAAACATGTATTAAATAACTGTTTTCCATCTGCAGTTACAAATGTGGAAAGTAGCTCATCACACAAACCAAGGATCAGGTTTCCAAGAATAAAAGATGAGGGCAGATAAAAATCAAAGTGGAAAAGAAGTCTTTGGAAATTAAGAAGACACCAAGATCTCACAAAAGCTGGAAAGCAATAAAGGGAGGAGAGTCCAACCTGTGGGCAAGACTTGGCAGACCAGCTCTTGAGTTCATTCATCACAGCTCACTGAGCCTGGCAAAAGCTGCCTCCTCTATAACAATTGTACGTACAGGGTAGAGAACAGAGACCCAGAAGCTGTTCATTAGCTCACAGCAGTAAGGTTGCAAGCTTCCGTCTCTATCTCAAGAGAAAATCTTTCTCAGGGTATGTACCTTATCAAAGTAAGTATTTGTTCAGACTTAGAAAGGCTGTGGAGCAGCTCTGTCTAGTCTTCTATTTTCCTTGAAGTTCAATACCTGTAATCTGCCAGAAAGATGTGTAAGGGGATACAATATTCATTCATTCATTCATTCATTATTTGCACAAACATCTATTGGTTACCAACTGTGTACCTGGTACTCTGCTATGCATTGATGAAATAGAGATAAATTAGATTAATTATCATCAAGGCATTCCACTCTAGTGCCAGAATGAAACAAATAATACATACAGCAGAAAAAGTAAAAGGTTATCTGTAGAATCTAGATTGTGGAGATAATTGCTTTTGCTTTTGCTATACATTGCTTTGAATTTTTCTGTAACTTTGAAAACCTTTATAATTCTATGTTAAAAAGACACATCGCAAGCGCTTATTGGAACTTAACCCAAATTAAGGAGGCCATTTTTTTCCTAAGGATGGCTAGTGGGTGCAACAAAGAGTGGTCTGTGGTTAAAATTTGGTAAACATTAGGTTAAACATATTTCTTTACTGCTTTGCTTATTAATGCCTCTCAGATGTTCATGCACCTTAGATCAGATATAATGTAGAATTTTCCAGGCTTACTTGACTATGGGACTTTTTTTACCCTGGACATTTCTCAGCCTTTGTATTTTAAGGAAGAAACAATGGCAGTTACTAAATTAAGGATTAATTCCCCTGAGCTACTGCTGCCCTGAAAAATGCAACGGGGTCACACAGGGACTGTCCTGTGTACTGTACATGAGGGTTCCTTTTTCAGCTCATTGCCTAAATAGGAATTTATCTGTCGCATATAGTTGTTTATAGCACATGGTCTAATATGATAACACTGTGATCATTCACTATGGCCTTATATCAAGAACAGAAACACAAAAATGATTGATTTAAAAAATCATAATGACTTACTTCAAATAAATGCATAAGCAGCATCTAAAAACTGAGAATATTTACTTAAGGGCTCTGAAATGAGAAAGGGCCATCACAACCCAGAGGGGCATACAGGGGAGGAAAAGCAGCCTGGGACAATGCAAGCTGCAAAAACACACTGCTCCCACTGCTCCCGAGTCCTTTCATGAAGAAGAACTGGAGATGGATTTCAGAGCCCCACCAGACAGTATTCAAAATTATACCTGAGTAGGATGGTGTAATAAAATATACGTTACTCTCTAGAAGAGCCCGTTTTCTAAAGGTCCTTTTGTTCTTCAGCAAAGTCCCAAATGGGAGAACTCATCTAGGTATTGTGTGAGGGGTGCATATATCTACATCGGTAGAAACGTGCCAGACAGTATCTTAAGTTTTACTTCACAGAATGGGTAAACTAAGTAAACAGATGACTTCCAAAATGCGCTCTCACCAAGCCTAACTTCTCTCTTGCAGTGCTACGTGTCACATGATGACAGAAGTGTTACACATTTTATACTTTATTATAGTTATTTGTTTACACTTTCACAGAACAATGAAAACATTTACAATAGTCATTAAAATTATTTGGGTATGCACTGCCTCCCTAACTAAATGGTGAGCTCACTGAGGATGAGACGTACTTTATTTTTGCATTCCATATGCAAATTCCAAAGGTCCTGGTATGGCATTCTATAAAGAGCTTGGATGTTATCCCAAGAGCAATTGGAAGCACTAGAGGCTTTTAAACAAGGTCAGTTTTTAATAGGACTAGATTTGCATTTAGAAAGCCCTTTGGCTGGATTGTGGAAAGTAGATTAAAGGCAGGCAGCCAGGTGGCAGAGAGGTCAGGGAGAAGACGACTGCAGTTGTGCAGGTGAGGAGTGGAGAGGACTGAAATTGGGGCACTGGCCTAGAGGAGGGGACAGCCCATGGGTTTCAGGGGGTAGAACGGGCTGACTGTGCTCACTCATGAGGTGCTAGAGATAAAGAAGAGGGGAAGACTAAATGACAGATGTTTCTAGCTTTGGTGATGCCAGCGACTGTGAAGGGGACTATTGTAAGGACAACCAGGCTAGGAGAGAAAAGAATTAACATGCTCAGCACAAACATCTCTTTTATTTATTTTTAAAAAATATTTCATTGTTTATGCTATGACACTTGTCCCAGTTGTCCCCCTTCACCCCCTCCACCCAGCCTTCCCTCTACTTTTATAGTCGATCCTCACACCACTGGAAAGCTGGGTACTACGGAAACAGAGAGAAATAGAGATAGTCTCTAATTTACAAGCAAGCTAGATGCCAAATGTTTACAAGTTGATTGCTTAGAAAATGAAACATATTTTTTTTCCTCAAAAGAAGCAACATGCTAGGTCCTGATTGGGCCTGTAGGCTATTTCTTCCCCTGTGGCAACAGAGTATGGTATTATTTCTGTCCAGTGTTGGGCAGTGTTGAAGAAAACAACCTGGGTACATGGGAAGAAAGCTTAGGACTTAGGTCTGCGTTCAGCCATTGACTAGCCTCACCGCTAGTTTGTCTATCAATACAACGAAAATTGAAAATAATGCTCTATTTACTTAGGAGGATTGTACTGAAGCTCAAGGGAGACAGCCTATAGGAAAATGTTTTGTGTACAGTAGCATGTCTTGTAAAGGTAAGAGTTGAAAGCAGCCACTTAGCTATCTGGTACTGCTAAAGGACAAATGATTCTAGATAGCTGGGCTTAAAACACAGTTGGGAGTTTATCTTTTAAACAGGAAACCATTTTTTTCTTAAAATATTAACCACTTTATTGGTATGAAAAGCATTCCATAATATTGCTTCTGTTAAGACCACACTAAACATGAGACTAGGACTCAAAAACTACTTGTTGAGTAAATTGCAGAATGAATTTTATGTCCTTATCCTCAGGTGGCCATTTCTTCTCTTTCTCTTCTGCTGGATCTTCCTCATCATCTAGACCTCTTAAATGCGGAGGAGCCCAAGGACTTAAGCAACAGACCTTTCTGCTTCACTATCTGCACTCACTTCCAACGTGATCTCATTCAGGCCCACGGCTCTAAACTTCATCCATATACTCATGACTTTCAATTTTATGTTTCCACTTTGAGCATTTTTTTAGAACTTCAATCTCATATACCCAACTGCCTATTCAACCTCTTCTTTAATGTAAAATAAGTATCCTAAATTTAACATGTCCAGAAGGTTTGTTAATTTTCTCCCCTGCCTCGGTCTCAGATTGTGTAATCTCAGTAAAACACAGCACCAGGTGGCCATTTGTTCTGATCAAAATCCTTGGAGTCAGCCTTGACTTACCTCCTTGTCTCAAAGTCTATATCTAATCTATCTGCTAACACTAACTTTTTACCTCCAAGGTCCACTCATACTCCAACCCCTTCTCAACATCTCTCCTGCTACCTCCCTGGCCAAGTCACCATCAGTTGTCCTTTACTTGTCCTACAGGAGCCTCCTAACTTTCCTTCCTGTAATCTCTTTCCCAAGGAGTGGCCAGTATAGCCATGTTTGTAATTCATGTCACAAACCTTTGCTCAAAATCTTCCAAAGGCTTAGAATAAAAACCAAAGTTCTTTTGATGATCTATTAAACCATGGTAATCTGACCTACTTCTCCCCCTCCCCCCTCTCCTAGAACATAGCATGAATGTTGCCTCTGAGCCTTCAATTAGATGGTTTCCTTTCCCTGAAACTCCCCCCCTTGATATCTATAGGATTCACACTGTCACTTCATCCCAGTCTGTGCTCGAACCTCATGTCATCTGAGAAACCCCTCCGACTTCCTCCAATAAAGTAATACCACCATCCTCCAGCTCTATTCTCCTCTCTTCTACTTCTGGGCTTTATTTTACTCAATAGCATTTTAACAACACCTGTGAACTCTACATATATTTCTGTATAATATCTGAGTGGTACGTGTGGCCCGTGGATTGCTATTATTCTGCAAACTGTTACCAGTCTGTTATAAGAAAAAGGCAAAAATGCTTTGAAACTTGTTAGCAACCTGACAGAAGTTTGTCTGTAGAATCCAATAAAAAATTAGGGGTTGTGCTTTGTTTTGTCTTGTCTTGTTTTAAAATATCCATCTATAGGAGATTGGACTTTTTTAAAAAAGAAGAAAACTGGCTCTTCACCAAACAAAGATTGTCTGAAAAGCATTGGCTTACTTCACCCCCTGGACTGTTAGCTTGAGAGGAATTGAGTTATTTTTACCAAATATTTACTAAATACCTACTATGTCCCTGGCCAGTGCTGGTCTCTGGGACTCAAAGGTGAAAAGGGTGCAGATAATGCCTTGGAACTCACAGTTCATTGGAGGGCAGAAACATGTAAAACCACACAGTAGTAGAGTGTGGAAATTGCAACTAGGTACATTCTCTCCATAACTGACAAGTTTATATTTTACACCTGAGGAAAAAAAAACTAACAGTGCAATTGTGTGATAAATAGGGAATAAGTTGTCACAGCAAGCTATTTTAGGGAGTCGGTACCTGGGATGCAGTGGTACGTGTCTCCCGCCCAATTCATGAGAGCACCTTTGTGCTTCTTCCCTTAGCATCACCTTACATATTACATGTCTGTCCATTTGTTCATTGTTTACCCCAATGGTACACATTTCCAGTGGGGTCCATGAGCCAATGCCTATGTGTTACCAGTGTCAAAGGAGATAACTCCTTTCATCCTTTCTGCCTTTCACAGATGCCACAGATGAGCCTCCCATTTCCCACGTTGGCCTGGCAGAGGGTCAGAGCTCCTGCTACGTGGCAGAAGTTATAAGCAGAAAGTGGGAAGACAAATCACTCCTGAGATCCAAAAGCTTGAAATGCCTGACAATGTCAAACTGTAGCCAGGAAACCTTTGTTTACTTCATGTTCTCTGGACCAAAGCAGAAAAATCACAGCTCCTCCAATACTGCCTCATAAAACAAGGTATCTCATTTCATTGAAAACAAAGTCACTTCACTCTCTCCACTGCAGGCAAGAAGTACTTTGAAGGTAGTAGCATGGTTTTCATAACTGTCCCCACTCCACAAACATGCAACACATGTCTGGTTCAGTGCCATGCGCTGGGAAGGGGGAACTGGGGAGCTTCAACAATCAGGCATTTTAATACTCATTTAAATCCTATTCCTTTGCCCACAAATGATTTGAAATAATTAACAATAAAGAAAGCTGGGAACAAGGATTTACTGATCAAGGTGTGCTGCCTAGCCTTCTGATCATTTAATCTTCACAGTGGACCAGGGAGGGAGGAAGGTCATGTCCACTTCATAAGGAGGAAACAGGTTCAGAGAAATGAGGCAGGGAGACCTGACTTCAAACCATGCCAGTCTGATCCCAGGGCTGTGGACTTACCTGGGCCCTGGAAAAAATAGGAAGTAAATAGGATAACAACAAAGACAGCTACATTATAGTTAACTACAAATGTTTTTGGTTTCAAACTTTCTCACAGTTGAAGAGAAGGAGAAAGATGAAGATGAAGCAGATGAAGGAGGAGGAGATGATGATGGGAAAAAGGGAGAAAATTTTTCGAATTTTCATATAGAAAAGAAAATCCAACTCCTCAAAGGAAAAATTTATCACATAAGATTTTCAGTGAAAAGTAAGGAGCTGAAGAAAATAATGTGGTTGTCAACAAATACATTCATTCATTCAACACTACTGAGTGTCCTGCCTGTCTGCCATCAGCTCAGCGTGGACGTTCTCAAGACACAATGGTGAACGAGTGCTCCTGGACTCACAGAGCTTAGAACTGGGAAACACACACAGTGGAGGCTAAGTCTTTCCTCAAGAGTCATAATGTTATTTTCAAATAACAGTACCCAAAATAAAAAATTCTATTCTCCATATAATCAGAGAGTAATGATAAATGGACTTCAGTCAAATCTCTCGGTAAGTTACCAAACTAACGTAGCCCAAGGACACAGCATTCTGAAGGAGCTAATTTGACCCAAAGATGAAACACTGGGCCATGGATAGAAAGCCCTTCACCCTATTTCTACCGGATAGTGTATCTCACAGCCTGCCTTAATGGAAGTCCTAGTCCTAAGACCCATAAACCAGGTTTTCTGTGTTGTTGCTGGAAAAAATAGCCATTTGTTTCCAATGTCAAATTAGTAGCTAAGAGAGCTGTGATCATGCTAAAAAGTTGAGAATTTAAACCAGTTTCACTCCAAAATTCACGTTAACTAAGATTTCTCTTTTCTACTTTGCTGCTTTACTCCTCTCCAGCGCCCCCACCTACCCACCTAGACACAGCAACAGGATAAAAATTACTTTATAGTTCCACATGAGAAATGGACTTGTGATTGGATTGAGACATTACGGCCATTACCTGCTTCATTTCAGGCGGACTCCTTCCTCCCATCCTTCCCGGTTTACTCATAATTATAATCACTCATTCACTGAATAGTACCTTACACTAGGCATTACACTAGTGTTAGAGGTGCCTTCAGGAAGTTTACAATCCAATGCGGGAACTGGCAAGCATACAATTAAAATACAATAAGCAAATTTCTCTAATAGAAACAGACCCAAGCCTTGGAGCCCAGTGAGGGAATGGAGCAATGATTGTTATATAATGTATCACTCAACAACAGTATGATCACAATAAAAACTAGAAAGCAGGACAAACTTTATAAGATATTATATTTTAATGAAACAAAGCATTTTTATTTACTTGTTCTCTTCCTATCTTTATACATATTCATTCATAGTTGATTTTATTTTTATTTGTTATATATTTAGAATGTGTCTATTTTGTCCTGTACCTTTATCAGATAAGAGCCTTTAAACCAATAATTTACTCATCAGTTTTTCTATTGTTATAGATACTTAAGCTAGTATGATTGAACATTTCCCAAAAATTTTATATATTTATTTTTAGAGGATCTTCAGAATTTTTCAAGTTGTTTATATTCTTTCTGTAATGAAGACATTAACCATTATCATGTTTATTGTACATATTTTTTCATGATATATTGTCCCCTTTTTTCCTGAACAGTAATTTTATCTCAGATGGTCAAATCAAACTATCTTCTTGTGATTTAGTCTAGATAATATCTCAAAATTATAATGTTAGTGCTGTTATAGAACATGATATTTACTTCCATTTTCTGATATGTTAGCTAGGTTTTTAATGGTATTTTGTAATAATTCTATAATTCACATAAAATACATTTTCACTTTTTAATTAGGGTTTTGAGTTTAATTACATGATACCTCGCTTTTTCAATTATTGCATATTTTATCTTCTGTTCTGATATGTGATGCACTTGTCACTTTGTTCATCATTCTTTGTTTTTAGGCTTTTTTCAGATTAATTTAATCCTTATTTGATGAAGAAATTCTGCAGAATTTTGATTGACAGTTATTTAGATCTATAAATGCACTTGAGAGAAACAAACATTACAGAGTTTAACTTTCTTTGCAAGATTTCACATCTTCCTTCGTTTAAGCTGAGAGTCTGTGATCTAGAGTCAAACAGCCCAATCTTAACTTTGTCTCTGCATTCACTCCATCTGGTCCAGGAAAAGTTACTTAACCTCTGTGTACCTCAATTTTCTCAAATTTCCCTTTTCTTTCATAAAAAAAATAGTGTATGGTTTGTATCATAAAATATTTACTCCTCTTTAGATTTTGTGTTCTATGTTCTTTTTGTTTGTTTATTTTTTAATTCTCACCTGAGGACATGCTTGTTGATTTGGGAGAGAGAGGAAGGGGGAGAGAGAGAGAGAGAGAAACGTTGATGTGAGAGAGAAACATCAATTGGTTGCCTCCTGCACACTTCCTGACCGGGTATTGAACCCACAATCAAGGTATGTGACCTAACCAGGGATTGAACCTGCAACCTTTTGGTGTATGGGATGATGCTCCAACCAAATGAGCCACCCAGCCAGGGCTCCTCTATTGCTTTTTGATCTTTCTTTTATTATTGAAGAAGTTTTTATTTTTTGTTCTAGTATAATACCCACTTTATTTTTTCTTACCTAGGCCTCTACTATTTAATTTTTCACATATACCCTGACTCTTACATTACATGTGGGTCAATCACTGAGCTCTTTCTTTAAACTGTCTTTTTTCTCCTCCATGTTTTAGTTATGCTACTTCTACTTTGTAAAAATGTACAAAATTTGTATAACATTCCATATCCTTGTTTTGGTTTCAGAGCTTGCTCCATTTTTTAAGTCTGAAATCCACAATTAGATACATTCAATACTCACCACACTTTCCCCAGTCATAGTTTACTCCAGTGAAGTTCATCCTGTATTAGATACTTCAGGACGTGCTGGAAGTGCAGTGTTCCCTGAATTCTTGCGTATTTAAACCTATTCTTTTTAACCTTGACTTTTAAGTCAATGTTGCTCACTAACTAACATATTATTTCCTTAAATTATTTAAAAATGGAGCTCCACAACTATCTTTCTTTGTATTTTGCTGTTGAGAACTCCAATACCCTGATTTTATTTTTTCAGTGACTTGGTCTTTTTGCCTGCAGGCCCCTATGCTATTTTACGATTTATTGTTAAAGACTTTGACTTATAGCTGACTATTCCTAGTACTGCTGTAACAAAGAACCAGGAAGTTAGTGGCTTAACACAGCTTTATTATCTTACAGTTCTCAAGGTCAGAAATGCAAAATGGGTCTCAATGGGCTACATTCAAGGTGCTGGCAGGACTGTGTTGCTTACAGAAGCTCTGGGAGAGAATAGATTTTATTGCTTATTTCAGACTCTAGAAGCCATCCATATTCCTGGGCTTGTGGCCATATTCTTCCATCCTCAAAGCCAGTAAGGTCTTGCTGAGTCCTTTTCACAGTGCCATCTCTCTGGCTCTTTTTCTTCCTCCTTCTTCCACAAGGACCCTTGTCATTATTATACATTGAGACCATCTGGATAATCTAGGATAATCTCCTCATCTCAAGATCATATGATTAACAACTTTAATTTTCTCTGTAATTTTAATTCCCCTTTGCCATGTAAACTAATATAGTCACAGTTGCCAGAAATTAGGATGAGACATCTTGGGGCCAGGGGAGGCATTATTCTACCTACCATGCTCTATTTGCACAGAAAGGGTCATTGCAGTATCCTGTGGCTTTTAGTGTGATATAGGTATGGATTATGGGTGGTTTTATTTTCTCTTCTTATTAATATATATGGGTTTGGAGGAGCTATGGAAAGATTTGCCTTTAGGCAACTACCATTGTCTGACTAGAAGCTGGAATTCATCCACTCAGTATCTCAAAGGCCAGAATATTGTTTCATGTCTCCATCCTTTTGTTTGTAATGTACTTACTAATCAAAATGTCCTTATTCTTTATGAAACCTTAGATCAAGTAGCACCTCTCCCATACTTCCTAGACAGAATCAATTATTTTTTCTTTGAGGCTTCTTTAAGACTTCACATTTGATCTATCATTCATTTGCTCTATTGTTACAACTATTTCTTTATGTGTCCCACTAGACCAGGAAATTCTTGAAAGTAAAAGATTCTTATTCACTACTGTAGCCTTCCATAGTGTATGGCATATGCTCTGTTCTATTATTGTTATTATCTATATTAATGCTATCAATTTTATAGCTACTATTTATACTGAGCACTTGACACATTATTATTAATGTTCCATAAAATTCAATGGCATAGGTCCTATTGTTCTTATTTTACAGAGTAAAAGATGAGACTGAAATTGTGTTCAGAGTCAATAAATAGTGCTATAAACTTTTATCTTAATTCAAGTCTATTTGACTACATACATATATTAGTCTGTATTCACTTAATCGCAGTATGTTCTTGGAGAGACCAAAAAAAAAAAAGAGTGGAACATTCTTGGAACAGTCAGCAAAAAAGATCCCAGAACTCTATTGTTCCCTCCACCTTCATATTCCAATAAAATCACATGGTCTCCCTGAAGGGTATGAAACTCTGCTAAATGGACAAATAGAATTCCTCTCATCTAGAGCGTAATGTAAGTAATGCTGGCACTTAATATTTCACTTAGAATAAAAGGAAGCAAGGCCTTGATCATTTTCCTGAGAAGAAAGACCAGATAACTTTGGAAGCTGTGAACACTCTGGACATAAGCCCAAGGCTCATGGAGGCTTTCAAGAAAAGTGGGCCTCCTAATACAGAAAGCCAGAATTCTCTACACAGTCAGTCACCCAAGTCCTCAAAACAGGCCAAGGGAAGGGATACAACTTTTTGTTCTAAAGAGCTGACAAAAATTCTGGCCTTGGCTCAAAAAGACCAAAATTGAAACACAAAGCTACTGAGTAAAAACAGACTTCCAGGTACAGACCACCAAGAACCCATTGATTCCATCATCGGGGTGGGAAGATAGACCTAACAGGCAAAGAGACCAAAGACATGCGTGCCAGGCTCATGCTGGCTAATTTGTTGCAGGATGGACTTGGATGCTCATTTTGCAAACTTAGGGATATACTTCATATTGCAGGTGACACCCAACTGGGAGAAAACAGAGCAAAGCAAAATCGTGAACCTAAAACAAAAGCCCCTTCATTTTTGCTTCCAAAACTTCCTTGAGAATTGGCTGCACTTCTTATGGGAAGTGTTAGCTTTACAACCTTAGAAAACAATCATAAGGCAGGTCTGATCCAAATAAAGTTCCTCTGTGCTGACTATTGGTTCTTTTTATTTATTTTTAGCATTAAAAAAGATTAATAACTTTAGTTAATTAATTACATAACTAATTAATTTTTTCATTGTTGTTCAAGTACAGTTGTCTGCATTTTCTTTCCTCCACACCCCCCACCCCAGCCATCCCCACCTCCCTCCCCTGATCCCAAGCCCCCCCTTGGTTTGGTCCATGTGTCCTTTATAGTTGTTCCTGAAAACACTTTCCCCCTTATCCCCCATTATCCCCTCCCACCTCCCTTCTGGTTACTGTCAATTTGTTCTTAATTTCAGTGTCTCTTATGTTTTGCTTGTTTGTTTTTTTTGTTTTGTTAATTAGGTTCCACTTAAAGGTGAGATCATATGGTATTTGTCTTTCACCACCTGGCTTATTTCACTTAGCATAATGCTCTCTAGTTCCATCCATGCTGTTCCAAAGGGTAGGAGTTCCTTTTTTCTTTCAGCTGTGTAGTATTCCATCATATAAATGTACCATAGTTTTTTGATCCATTCATTTACTGATGGGCACTTAGGTTGCTTCTAGCACTTGGCTATTGTAAATTGTGCTGCTATGAACATTGGGGTGCATAGGCAGAAAAACCTCAGATATTCCACACTGCAATATTTTCACCAATATGTCCCCTAGAGCAAGGGACATAAAGGAAAGAATAAACAAATGGGATTTAATCAAAATAAAAAGCTTCTGCACAGCTAAAGAAAGCAGTATTTAAATGAAAAGATAATCAACTGTATGGGAAAACATATATGCCAATGATATGTCAGACAAGGGTTTGATCTCCAAAATATATAAAGAACTTGCATGACTCTATTCCAGGAAGACAAACAACCCAATAAAAAAAAATGGCAAAAGACCTGAGCAGACACTTCTCCAAGGAGGACATGCAGAGGGCCCAGAGACATATGAAAAGATCAGCATTACTAGCCATCAGAGAGATGCAAATTAAAACCATAATGAGATACCACTTTACACTGGTGAGAATGGCCATCATAACCAAATCAACAA